TGCCCAAGCCGAGCCGTTCTCTGTCCAAAGTTTAAGTTATTTCACCACTTCCTGCCCTGGGTATGTGTTGGCTACAGGGCTTCCTGTAAAGACAGAGGCCAAAACACCCAAAATGCTTCCCAAGGGAGGAAGCCAAGCTCCACAGAAGCTGGACTGACTTGGAGCTGCAGGTAGAAGGGGTCCCGGCTGGGGCCCAGTGGAGGAAGCTTGTGCAAGGGGCTAATGTCGCAGCTGTGGACTCCACGTGGCCCTCTGCATGATGGAGTGAAGGCAACAAAAGGCACCATTCATTCATTCATTCATTCAGTCCTCTGGCCTTCTCTTCTCCAAGCTGGGCCCCACATCCTGGGCTGGCGTGCTAAGCCCCCAGCCCCAAGCCCCTGTCTGGTGTGTATTTACACGTGTGGCAGCTAGGAACTGAGTTTATGGGGCTGCAGGTGCAATAAACAGTACAGCATTTACCCTGCAGTGCTTGTCCCACAGGCACTGGTCTGGGGATTTGCATATGTGGACCATTTAATTCTCTCTGGTGTTCTCATCACAAAGAAATGATACAAGTTCAAAGTCAAGGATACGCTGATAATCCTGACTGGATCACTACCTGTGTGTGCATCCACTGAAGTAGCACATTGGACCCCAGGAATATGTGTAACTCTTGTGTGTCAACCATAAATCAAATAAAAATTTTAAAATCCACCCCCTCCAGCCCTGTGTGGGAAGTACCACACTGTCTCCATCCTATGGATGAGGAAATAAAATCGCACAGCCAGAAAGTGACAGTTTGGCTCTCCAGTCAGAGTGCAACCCTTTAAATTAAGCAGAGTCACTGAAAGGTGAAAACTGGAAGCATGGGTGACAGGGATCAGGCATGGGGACTGAAGGGTTGGTGGTGAGCAGGGTGATGGAGGGTGCTGAGTGCTCAGTGTCACTGAGACCTGACAATGGCTAAGTGATGTATTTAAGCATGCTTTCATAGGTGTGGGGGGATCGTGACTCTCTAAAAGCAATCACCACATCAGAATAAGAAGAGCACCAACCACCACCATAAGTAAAGTCCCCTCTCATTCTCCCAGGCAATGAAGTTCAAAGATACAACTAGGACTTGCCCAGAATCCCACTGTGTGAAGGTTAATTTCAAATCAGTTCCCTGGTCCTTGGTCAAACATTGAGAAGTTTCCACAAAGGTGTTTTTAGGTGATATTAACATTTAAATGGACACGAACTGCAGCATCAGCTCTTCTCTGGTCTTCAGCCTGTCCTGCAGACTTTGTCTACATCACAAAAGCCCATTCTTTAAAATCAATCTCTCTCAGATAGATGACAGATAGATCGGTAGATAGATGATTGATAGATAATTAATAGATGATAGACAAATGAGAGAGAGAGACACAGATACATACTTTAATACATAGTCACGCACGTAATGTGCTCAAATGGACACATAGATAAAAACACACAGACATACATTCATACACGCTCACTCACACAATTGGTTCTGTTTCCCTGGAGTGCCCTGGTGCCCACCACTTGTGAGCATCTGTGTAAGTCCCTCCCTTCCTTCTTCCCTTGTCTGAGGATATACTGAGTCCCTTGTCGTAAGCCCAGGACAGTGGCTGGTTAGGAACTCTCACTGGACCAGGCCATCTGGGAGTGAACCTGGACTCCGTGTTTCATTGTGTGACCTTGAGCAAGTTTACTTCTCTTCTTGCCCTCCAAGTCCTCTGTGAGGTGGGGACGTGATAGCAGCTGCCTCAAGGTTTTCACCAGTTTCACCTGATTATGGTGCCTGGGGTACTAACAAAGACACCAGGTGCCCACGTCACACTGTACCCATGTGAGCTGTTAGTCATTTCCAAGCCATTTTCAGCCTGGCAGAAAAATTTCGTCCTTGTCACAATTTCCCAGTGTCAGCTCTTCTTAGAATATCCATCTCTGTGCTGGGCTACAAGGGATGGGGGAGAAGGGCAGAGAACTGGACCATTAAAACTCTCACCATCAGGGAATCCCAAATGAGCTCTGGTGAGGCAGTGTGGGGGTATTACTCTCTCCGTGGACACTAGGTCAAAGAGCAACCCTAAACAATACCGTGCTGGTCAGAGTATTCATTTCCTATTGCTCTATAACAAATTAACACACACTTAAAGGCCTAAAGAACACCCATGGGTGACGCCAGATGTCTGGGTAGAGTCGCCTGGGTTCTGGGCTCTGATTCTCACAAGGCCACAATCAAGATGGCAGAGACATGGACCTGGGCTCAGATCTGGGAGCTCAGAGGCAGAAGCTGCTTTCCAGGCTCACTCAGATAGTCACAGGGCCAGTTTCCTACAGCTGTAAGTCTGAAGTTCCAAATTTCCTCCCTGGCTGCCAGTAGGGGGCCACTGTCCACTCCTAATGGCTGCCTGCATTCTTTTCTTCCACATCCCTCTGCTGTGGGGTCAGAAAGAGCAGGTTGAATTCTTTCCATACCTGGAGTCTGTCTGATTCCGCCATCTGCTGCCAGCCTGCAAAACCCTCCTGCTTGGGGCAGAAGTATTGGATAATCTCTTTTGATAAACTCAAAGTCATCTTTGCTCTAACCACCTATGAATAGCCCAAACACAGGGAGGAAATCTTGTCCTATTCACGGTCTCTGCCATACCCAAGGGGAGAGGGGTTTACAAAGGTCATGGGTGCCATCGTAGACCTCTGCCTATCGTGGTCAAGATCGGCCAGGTTTTGCCACAGTCATAAAAAGCCCTTGGAGCACACTAGGCTGACTGGGACATGGCTCTGGGTCAACTTCCTTCAGCACAAGGCTGATAGAGCAGCCAGCATCTCGCACTTGGGAGTTCCCCGGCAAAGAGGAAGAGAACAAGGGAGGCACATGGCAAAACATGGCAGACTACCCATGCCTCTGCCTGGCTGTCAACCCATCACCTCCTCTCCCATCTCATTGTGTAAAATAACCCACATGGCTGTATGCAACTTCAGAAGGCCAAGGACGCTCAGTCCTGACCTGGGTGTAGGAAAGAGGTCACCATATTTGGTGACCAGCAGTTGGCACAAACAAGGAATTGTCCAGAAAGGAAGCACTGGAGCCACAACTCTGTCTAAGCGTTCTGCAGGCACTGGATTGGTCAGACTCTTTCATTTGCAAGGAACAGAAAGAACACTCTCTGGAACCAGCTCTGTGGCTTGAAGTGACGCAGGGCAACTGGCAGAGTCTGAGGAGGACATGCAGCTTCAGCCTCTAAGACTGGAGCCTGGAGCCTGGATCAACCACACTCACTCCTGCTTCAGGGCAGGAGACACACTGCTGGCACCAGCAGCATAGCCACCTCAGTGGAGTGACAGCACTCCACTCCTCTGCCTTGCTAATCCTAATCCATATAGACTAGGGTGATTGATCCAGCCTAGTCTGTATGTCCAACACCATTCCTATACCTGGGGAGCAAGAACTGGTCCAAGATGGACCAGGAATACGATCTGTAAAAGAGAAGGAAGGAATGAAGGAAAGGAAGGCAGGAGGGAGAGGAGGGAGGGGAGGGAGGGGAGGAAGAAGGCAGGGAGAGAGGGAGAGAGGGAGGGAGTAGAGGGAAGGGAAAGTATGAAGCCACAGCTCTGGCAGTCACTCCAGCTGTTTCATGTTTGTTTCCTTTTCGCAAAGACTCTGTGCAGTAAACTTTATAAACCCTGTGTGTCTGGGGAAATGGAGTGATGACACGATCCACAGGGTCCAGGGAAGCAGAAGTGAGACTTGGGCTGAAATCCAGCCCGCACCTCCCCTGGCCATGGTTTCTGCCGAGCTGAGTAGAGCCTAGTTGACTGAACAATGTTTGGACCATGCTCCTCCTGTGTGCTGCTTCCTGCTAAAGCTCCAATCTGTGTTTGGGGTTTCTGGAGGTCTCTCTTCTAAAACACGGGGCTCCTTCATAATCCCTGCCCCAAGGCAGAGCCCAGTTTCAGTGTTTGTCTTCATTCCTTCACTAGGGACTGGGTGGGCCAACTTTCCACTTGGCTTTGCCAAGAGTGAATTTAACAAGCTCCAAAGCACGTCCTATAAACAGGACGCCTTTCACCACAGGGTACTGTCGTCAACAGGAACCCTGGAGGCAATATATTGGCTGGTAGCAGAGCCTGCTCCTCTGCCCTGTACCTCTGGCTGTCCCCCCTGAGCTGGGGCAGCCCACACGTCACTCCTGATACCAAAGGCAGGCAGAAGTGGAGAGACCTGGAGACACATCTTTGCTGCAGAGATGGTCTCCAGGGCTGACTTTCGTGCTCGTGCCCCAGACTGTGTGCCATCCAGTGCTGCCTCCTGCAGAAAACAGGCCGTACCACACCTCTTGTATTACTGACAAAGATGGCTGTTGTGTTGGGGTTGGGCAACTAAGGAGCACAGAGGTTGTCATGACCACTTCAGCCTTGGCTGCCAGAGAATGCAGCCATTGGTGGGAACATGGGTACATCATGGGAAAGATGCTAGTCTGTGTTTCACCAGTTACATCTGCTGGAGCAAACTCGAAGCTCCTGTTTGTTACTGTCTTGTTACTGTCTTCTTGAGATTCTCCCACAATCCCTTGGGGCTAAAAACAAAGAGCGCTCCCTGGCCACTTGCATCACTGACAGAGGGCTTCAGTCTGAACAGCCAGAAGGAAAAGGCTTAATGTTCTTTCTCCAGAAAAGGAGTCCCAAACCCTGAGAATACTAGGTCACAGAGAACACAGAAGACTGTCACTGTCTGCTTTCTACTCCTATTACAGAATGCCTGAGTCTGGGCTATGTATAAACAATAGAAGTTTAGTTGGCTCATGGGTCTGGAAGTGGGGAAGTTCAAGAGGCTGGGAAGTCCAACAACAGGCTAGTAACACCATCTATAAGGGTCTTCCATGATGGAAGACAGAAGGGCAAGTGAGCATGCACAAGGCGGAGAGCCCAGAAGAGGGTGAACTTGTAACAAACCTACCTATCTCCAGGTAGCTAACCCACTCCCTCAATAACAACTTTAATCCATTCATGAGGACAGAGCCCTCGTGACCTAGCCACCTCTGAAATCCCACTTTTACTTCTGCCACAGTGGCAGTTACATCTCACCATGAGGTATAGAGGGGTGTTTAAGCCACATCAGAAGTTGATCTGAGCTCTGCCAGAATGGTTTCTTTCTGTGTGTGACTGCAGCTGAGATTGGCCTGCATGAGGAGGCAGTGTAGAAGCTAGAGAGGTGTCAGCCAGGGAACATGGTATCCTGGATGGCCGTGGGCTGTGTTAGAGAAAGATGAGTGTAGTGGACACTGTGGAGACCCTTTGGTTTCCACCCTCCACCTGGCCGAAGTGTGTCTCCATTCTGTGGCCCATTATTGGACATGACCACATCTATCTTGCCATGGCTCAGAGTGGACCCCTCTGCAAGGTCAGTACCAAAGTCTTCATTTGGGTTTTCCCAAAAGCAGACCATGAAACAAAATACCCAAGGCTGGGAGTGTATAGAAAATAGGTTTATTAAGTTCAGAGTTTTGGCTGAAAGTCTGAGATCAATAGCCTTATCAGTTCAGCCTCCAGGGAGGTTCCTTTTGGCCATGTCACACTATGCAGATGACACCACAATGGCAGGGGTGCTTTGGAAATAGGTCCCATGGCAACACAGGAAGCCAGAGAAGGACTGGGAAGGAGTCAATCTCCCTGTTTTTATAACAACCCACTCTCATGGGAACAGACTCACTCCATGAGACCTGTATTAATCCCTTCCATGGGTGATGCCCTGTGAGAATCAACTAAAGTTAGGTCTTTTCTGTCAAAGGTGTTAACGTACAGCTATCATTGTGTAGCTGCCAGCTAACCTCCCCAAATTGCTGCCTATGTACTTTGGGAAACCTTGCTTGACCTTGCAACATTCTTGCAGTCAAACAAAGAGCTGTTTATCGCCAGATGTCCTAATCTCAAACTGCTTGCTTAAAGATGAATATTGCCCAAAAGTATTTTCTTGTTCTCCCTGCTTTGAGGTCCCCCTTACCCCACGTGCCCCTTTTCTGAGTAACCAATCATGAAGATTGTGAACCCAAACCAGTCCATCAGGGTGAGGAGCAAAGAGATAAAAACTGAGCAGATTCCCTGCTCAATGTGTTCTTCCTATCAGACTCTGGTCGGTGGCTGCTCCCTTCTGCAGAGGTAAGACTACTTTTTGCCTTGCTGAGCGGCTCCCGCGTGTTTCTTTGCTCACTGTTTTGAAAAGGTGTTTCTAACAGCTCCCAGTGATCCAGCTGCCTCCCACTGTGACTGGAGGAGGGGGAGCAGGTTCCCAGCTCCCCAATTTCCACAAAAAATCACAAGAACTTGAGATCCACGCATGAAATCATTTCAAGGTGTCTCATGACAAGAAGTCTCACAGGTAAAGTTTTAACAAAGATTTATTAAAAATAATACAACTTCCCTGCCTCCTGTCTATCTATCCTGACTCGCCACTGGGCCTCACTTCTTACTTAAAGGTTTCACTCATCTTAATCTTGACACATTGGGTGCCAAGCTTCCAACACGTGAACACACTCAATCCACCTCCAACTCACCAATGTAACTTCTGCTGTTCCATTGAACTCCTCAGAGATGGTGTATTAGCTTCACATGGATGCAGTAATAAACCACCACAAGCTAAGAGGCTTAAAACAACATGAACTTGATAGGCATGGTGGTGTATGCCTGTAATCCCAGCTATACAGGAAGTAGAGGCAAGAGGATTGCAGGTTCAAGGCCAGTTGAGGCAAAGTTAAAGACCCTGTCTCAAAAACGAAATAATAATTTTTTTAAAAAAAGAGGTCAGGGGTGTGGTTCAAGTGATAGAGTGTTTACCTAGTGTATTCAATCCCTAGAACCACAAGAAAATTAAACAAAAATAAAATAAAATAACCCCCCACGAGCTTACGATCTTACAGTTCTGGAAGTCAGAAGTCTAGTATGGATCCAACGGGGTGAAGACAAGATAGAGTAGAGCTACATTCCTTTTTGGAGGTTCTAGGAAAGAATATTTCTTTGCATTTTCTAGTTTCTAGAGTCCTCCTGGATTCCTGACTTGGAGCCTCTTCCTCCACCCTCAAAGTTAGCAGCATAGCATCTGTCTGTCTGTCTTACACACACACACACACACACACACACACACACACACACAAGTCCACTCCACTTCCGCACCTTTCCTCAGCTCTTAGGTCTCACCTAGGATGGAGCTGCTGGAGTGGGGGTGATGGGAAGAATTTGGGGCTTCTGTTATCACATCTGCTACCTGGTATGTCAGTTGCCCTCCATAAGGACAGGAATGCCTCTCTCTTATCTCTGTTTGTCCCTGTCCTTACCTCAGTGCCTGGTGCACAGCAGACTGTCAATAAACAGACATGTCCAGCAAATGAAGGAAGAGTTCTTTCAAGAAAATGGCTGATATCTATTGGAAAGCTTGAATTCACTTGCTCTGGCTGTGCAATGCTTCAGCCATGGCTGAGGGGGCAGGAGAAGTCTTGGGGAAGACAAAAGACTTGCTTTCCTGCGGGGACAGTCCCACCTGGGCTTTAACAGTAGAGCAGCCTGTGTACTGAAAGGGTCAGAGGAGGCTCTGGGATGGGGACACGAAGGGCAAGTGGAGAGGGAAAAAGGGCACGTGTGCATAGCTCTGCCCTCTCCCAGCAGCCAGGCTGCGTTCAGACTCTCTTGGGGAGTCTAAGGCATCTATGCTGTGTGTGTTTCTTAATGAACTTGTGTCCCAATCTCTGAGCAGCAAGGGCAGCACCTGCTGTGCTACCTAGGTCAGAGTCAGGTGTGGCACGTCGAAAGGAAAAAGACCAGGCCTCTGTCCTGGAGGAGGGGCCATCAGCAGTGATGAGGCAGATGATGAAGCCAGTGTTTCTTGCTCAGCACACACAGGGACCAGAGGACCAGAGAGGAGACAGCCACCCGGGACACACACTTGCAAGCATCGGGTCCACACAGGCTGTAGTCCTTGTTTCACATACTGGGGATCCACTCAGGCACCTCTTCTTCAGGACTCCTCACCTCTGTGCACCCCACTTTATGGAACTTGATGTGGGGCTCCTTGTGGGCCTGGCTGAGTGCCCTGACTCTGATCCCTTGTCTGCTAATGGATGGTGACTCCTGGGGGCCCCAGCATCCACCAGGCCTCAGTCAGAACCAGGAGCAACTGAGGGTCCAGCCTCTCACTCGTTCATTCCAAAAAGAGGTGCCATGAACTCTCAGCATGAGGCCTGGAAGTGCCAGCAACACCCCTGCGTGCTATCTCAGTGACACATTTGCTTCAACTTTGAACACACGGGATCCTGTTTTCCAGCCCTGTGACATCTCTGCGTCTAAATGGAGGAGGATTTGCTTGTTTCCAGAACCAGTTTTCTTCCCTGTCCTGACTTTAAGGCCATCCATGAAGGTGTCCAGAAGCCTTGGAACATTTAAAATGGACCTGTGGTCCCTGGCTGGGCTGCTCACTTGTCTGCCAGGAAGTCCCACACCCCCAGTGCCCTGGGCACCACCACAGAGGGAGAGCACAGACTCCTGCACTCAGAGGAAAACATGCTATTTGCCTGGTGCCACCTCCAGCACCACAGTTCTGCCTGTCTGAGCAGCTGCCCAACACGCATCCCTGGTCAGCTGGCTGACAGTGTTTAGGGAACATACTGGTGCCTACAAAACAGGAAGGGGCAGCTCTGGTCCCTGCCCAGGGCTCTGAATGCCAGAGACTAGGCAAACACATCTTGAGGACTGGAAGGGGCGGCAGACATGGCCCAGGGTGGTGCTATCTGTTTACAGACAGGGGCAGATGCCAGTCCAGAAAGGGATTTCTCCAGACTGATGCAGGGAGACACTGAAGCCAGGAGTTCAGTCCTGCTCATGTCTGGGATGCCATGCTCTGTGTACCTCATCACTGTGGTCCTCACCTTTGGTTGTTTAGTCTCAGGAATGTGTGACTCTCCAGGGCTCCTTCTCTGCCCTCCCTTGTAGCAGGAGGCTTTGGAGCGAGGCACACACAGGTCCAGAGCTCTCTGTCCCTCCCTAGTTCATAGCCCCTCAGTTTCCATGCCTGGGAAGAGGGAAGGAAGCTGCTCACTGCACTGGTTTGCTGTGAAGCACTTGGCATGGGTGCTGCTGCCCTGGTCGCTGCTGGTGTGTAAGTCATGCTCAGTGAGGTGAGGTGAGCACCAACTCCCTCTTCTCACAGCTCCTGTTCTGTCCTTGTCCTCTGATCGTGGGCAGCTGAGGACTCACCCTCATCCCTGCCTGCAGAGTCCTGCTCCTTCCTGATTCTGTGAGGAGAGCTGGAAGGACAGAGAGAGGTGTGTTATCTCCTCTGGACCACCATGCCTCCAGCTTTGTGAACTCAGGCAACTTGCAGGAGTTTGTTCAGCCTCAATTTTCCCACATGGAAAATGGGGCTGTATTCTGTGGTACCTGCCTCTCAGAGACACATATAGGATTTAACAGACAGTGATATTTGCTCAGAATGCTTGGAAAGTCGCAATACACCTGGCATGAGCTCTGCTCTGTGTGTGCAGTGTCTGGTTTATTCCTCACTGTGGCCATCTGAGCTGGGGACACTATTGCCCCGTTGCTCACAGAAGAAGGGAGATGCATGAAACTGGCCCAAGGCTGTAGCCAGAGAGGGTAGCCCTGCTCTGCAAGCCCACATCTAAGTGGGGAGCTTTCTTTTATTTTGCTGTTTGGACCCTAAAAGAGATGCTCACTTCCTGCACTAGGGATTCAGCAATGCCCACACAGCCCAGGCCAGAGGGGCACCCAAGCCCAATCTCTGCACCAGTAGCTGCTTGGGGTGTAACTGACAGCCCCACCAACAAACCTGCCTGGTTAGTGGTCCATGAACACTGACACCCAGACTTCCTGAGCCCAGTCTTGCATCATTGTCCTGCCCCAGCAGGCTGGAGAGAATGGGGCTCCAGCGGCTCACTGGAGTCCTCCCCCCACCCCAATTCTCCTGCAGGAGAAACAAAACAGCCCCACTCTGGAGAGGGCCCCTCTCCCTCCTGGTATCTGTCACCAATGTTCTGTTCTTGCATCTCTTCCCCCTCTGCCCCTGTGTGCTGCTCCTGCCATTTCGGGAAGAGTCCCCACAGAGCAAGAAAACACTGATGGAAAGTGTAAGCCTGCTTGCCTTCCGTGTGTCCCCGCCCCTCCTCTCAACATTGCATCCTTCTGAAAGGGTGAGGTCCCAGCCCAGGTGGGTGTGTCACATCCTCTCCCCCACCGTCACTGGACCCTCTGGCAGGGCCCCACAGGAAAGAGGCGTGGATGGATCTGGCCCAGGACCACCCTCCAGAGCAGTTGTTTAAAGGAGCAGCCGGCACAGCTGTGGTGAGCCGAGCACCATGATGGCCTGGAAGCTGAGTCTGTTCCTTCTGCTGCTGCTATCCGGGCCCCCAGCTGTGCAGCCGGTGCCCCCAACCTGCTATTCCAGGATGCTGACCCTGAGCCGGGAGATCACTGGGGACTTCCAGAGCCTGCAAGCTGCGGAGCCTGAGGTGAGTCCCTCTGCCTGCCTCCCCTATAGCCCAGGTGGGACCCTCTGCCTTCCTCCCCTACCCCCCTCAGGTTGGTCCCTCTGTCTGCCTCCATGTCTGGAAGTCACTACTGACCCAAGCCCAGCTCTCACATTCTTGCCTTTGGACAAAACAAACAAAAACAGGTCCCTGTAGAGTCTAGAACCTCAGAGTTAAAAAGGACCAAAGATTAAGCTTATTTTAGTCCCGTCAGTAGCCTGGTGATCTGTGTGTGCCAAAGAGGTGACACAGACTGACCCCCATCCCTTACCTGCTGAGGGACAGGGTGACAATAGGCATCGTCTAGGGTGCACAGGGCTTATGAGAGTGAACCTAAGCAGTGCAGGCATACAGCGCTCCGCAGCTGGTTTGGGAGGAAGACCCAGGAACTCAGAGGGGGCGTCCCACAGAGGCACTGGGAGGAGAACCCCGGCCTCTGACTGCTTGTCCATATGTTAGACTAACTAAGAGCTTTGATAAGATTTAAGGTGTCCCTTGGCTGTTTGTGAATGCTTCAAACAGAAGCTAACATTTCTTAGGTGTTGAGCATTTCAGAACTCTGACAGTCTTTTCATATTTTCTTTTGAAAAGTTAAATCATACACATTTATGTCTCACTATAAAAGCAATACACTCTGTAGAACACAAAGAACAAAGAAGAAAATCAATATTTCTTGTAACTCTACTACCTAGAGGTCACAGCCACGGCCACCACCGCATTGTGGAGGACGGGATTTGTTCCTGTCCACAAATCAGATGGATATGTGGTTTTGCAGCACTGTCAAATAAGTTAATGTTCTTTGCATGTCATTTTGTTGTCTGGTTGCACAACAATTTATCCACAAATTCCTTGCCATAGAATATTCAGAAATCTGGTTTTAGAAGATTAAAAAAAAAAATCAAAGGCTCAGAACTGCAGAGGTGAAGGAAGTGAAGAGATAGTCTAACTTTGAGAAACTGAGTCACAGAGGATCACACTAGCTCAAGTTCACTCTTGGAATTAATGAAGTTGGAATCTAGGTCTTTTGGCCTTCAGGACTGCACAGACACAAAAGTGCAGTACAACATTTAAAAGTACACACATATGCATAGAGGTGTAGGTTACTATATCACGTATGGTGTGTGTTATTGTATTCCTGTTACAGTTAAAACTGCTGTCACTAACATAATTACACATAACACATGCACATGTCTGTTTTCATACATGTATGTGTACACTTACTTATATATCATTTGTATATAATTGTGTATGTCTATATATAGTTACAGAACTGTCCTACAACTAGCTATAAAACCATTTTACATATATGTAAATATACATGCCTATTTATATGTGATTGTGTGTGTGTGTTTGTGTGTGTGTAAAACAGGGCCCTGACTTGTGGGAAATGTTAAAACTTCTTCTAGAAGTTGAGTTCTAGAAGAACAATTACTGATGTGAGGATGTGTGGCATACATTGCAAGAAAGCTCTGTTCAGAGATTAAGCAGATCATAATTTGAGGGAAGTCTGGGCAACAAGTGAGTAAGACCCACCTCAATGAACAAGCTGGGTATATTGGGGCATGTCTGTAATCCCAGCTACGTGGGAGGCATAGGTAGTAGGATCACAGTTCAGGCCTGCCTAGGCAAAAAGTGCAAGACACTTCCTGGAAAAATAAGCTAAAGCAAAAGAAGAGCCAGGGTTCATGGCTCAAGTGGTAGACCTCCTGCCTGACAAGTGCAAGGCCCTGAGTTCAAACCCCGATACTGTTAAAAAAAAAAAAAAAGAAGGAGAAAAGAAAAGAAAGACCTCTCAGGATCCGTTTTCCCGTTTTCTTTCTTCAGGAGCCATGCGTGAGATACCTGCCCGGCTTGTACCTGGATATTCACGTAAGGGGGCCCATCCTGGTGGGGGCAGGGACGGAGTGGGGGCAGGAGTGTTCTGAGCCAACTTCTGCTGCTGACTACGTGGTCCTACCAGCTGGCAGTAGGGCTAGGTCTCACGTGGGAGGACAGGAACTCAGCTCCCACCTTCCAGCTACTGCTTCTCCATAAACTCCTCCTGTTCCCACACCCAGAACTATTGCATGCTGGCCAAGCTGAGGGACTTTGCGGCCTCCACCCAGTGTTGGAAAGTGGCCCAGGTGGATGGCCTGAAGGAGAAAGTGCGGAAGCTGTACACCATCATGAACTCGTTCTGCAGAAGGGTGAGAGACACCACCCTCAGCCCTTTTCTGCTTGCTGTCAACCAGGAGCTGCTCAAGGATGAGGGCTGGGGTGGGGGATGCAAGGAGAAGTAGGGAGGCTTTGGGGGAACAGGGGCTTCCATTCTACACAGCCTTCCGTAACCAAAGTCACCCTGTTAAATGATCAAAACTTGGGACAAGGTCCCTCACCTCCATGAGATGCACCTTGACACTGGGGCCACACCCAGGGGCACTCCCTAGCCACCTGAGACACAGTGCCAGCTGGAAGCCTAATGGGGTGGTGCAGGGGTGGGGAGCTTCCTGGAGGGGGACTCCAGATGTACCCTGTGATAGGAGGCTGTGGTAGGAGAGCAGAAGGGGACAGAAAGCCTTGCAATCCCAAGCCACAGACTCCAGCTCCAGACAGCTCTGAGCTGGGCATTCGTCTTTCCCTTCCCAAAGGCAGCCCACTTCATGCCTCTGGGGCAGTTTCCTCATGGGCCAACTGGGAACTCCATGCCCATCTTATGACAACACCCGATGGAAAATAATAATTACACCCTTACAACACGCCAGCACTAGCGTTCCTTGCCTCAGCCCTAAGACACCCGAGTGACTAATGTAGGACAACTAGCCCAAGACTGGTGCTAGGAGGCCCTCACAATTAGCGAGTAAGTTATCATATTCTCGTCCATGTACCAAGGATCTGTTATGGATGCTGAACACCGTCAGTCCCCCCTCATCCCCCTTCCCTGGGTCCCGGGGGGTGACAGGAAGATGATATAAGCTTGATGCTATCTGGTAAGTGGGGTGCACTGACTGTCAAGTAGTTGGAGGTGACAGCTGGTGCTGTTCTGCAAAATATTCCCAAGGCCTGGCCCAGAGTTTTTGCTCGGTATTCATAGTGCACTCATTCCCTGCTTCCTTCACCTCGTCAGCCATCTGTCCATCAGGTTGGTCAACATGTGAGTGAATTCATAAGTAATAATGATATTACATAGCAGATCCTGTGGGATGTGAAGAAAGGGACCAGATGTCCTTGGGGCAGGTCTCCCATGTGCTTGAAAGGTCTTCGAGGATGATCATGAGTCCTATTGTTGCTCCCCGGCCACCTTCAATAGCACTCTTCCTCATTGCTTGTCTTTTCCAGGACTTGGTCTTCCTCTCAGATGACTGCGACGCCTTGGAATACCCAGTCCCAGTGACCATGGGTCCCCCAAACCATCAGAGCTAGGAAAACAGACCAGAGAAGAAACCCAAGAGGACCAAAGCTGTGTCAGCTGCCAGACTCAAGAGGCCAGAGCCTTGGCCCCACAGGTCTCCCTTTGCATCTGAGCTGGTGCCACAACCCTCCACCTCCTGGAAAGCAGGGCTGGCACTGCCACCAGGAGCATGCTGTGGGCCTAGAGTGAGAAGCCCAGCTCGGCTACGTCTTGTAGGGGTGTTCAATCCCCATGCAAAGAAGAACTCACCTGCTCTTTTAAAACAAGTAGCTTGTGAAAGCAAGATGGCATGCTTTTATGGCTGTTTTAATGGAATAATGGTACCACTTTTCTTTCTTGAAAGGAGTCTGCTTACACTTAACCAAGCTCTTGCTTTATATTTTCTCCGACAAACCTTCCTCCCTTCCTTTCATTTTTAAAGACATTTTGCAGCTTTTGAGATGTATTTGCTAGGCTCTTGCATATTGCTGACAGAAGTACTCTTTCATTGGAAGGTGACGAAAATCAAATACAGACTATCTTCATGGTGAGAAGCACACGTCTACTGTGTCTGCCCAGGGTGATGACAGAGGCCTCATGGCGTACTTTCCGTCTAACTTCCTGCTCCCCTTCCTCTCCTCTCCATCGAGCACAGGTGTCTGGGTCTGCCTTACCCCACCTGTATGAATGTCTGCTCCTAAATTGCTGGGAGATGCTCCAACTTCTGCTGCAGGTGTAGCGGTTGGGAACTCTTCTCACACGCGGCGCTGTGCCCTGCATTTCCCACAAGTCCCTGTCCTTTGACCCCACACAACAAACCCAGAGGCCAGCATCCTAGGAAGCTGAGGCTTAGGTAGGTTAAGTGACTTGACTTGCCCAAAGTCACCAGCTGGTCAGTGGAAAGCCTCATTCCAGCCCAATCTGTGTGTCCCCATCCTGGTCCCCTGCAGGTGAAACACACTTGTTTAGTTAATTTGTGAACCTGACAATAAAATCTCAGGTGAGTAACCAAAGTGTAGAAAAATATTTCAAATGTTGATGCCGTTAAATTCCACATTACATCAGGGTCTTTGTGTTTCTTTCACTCCCCTATTCATATGCAGGCCAGGCTTTTCCTCCCTGAATTAGAGTCCTCTGACTCCCCAAGAGAAGGATCAATTAGGCTTTTATTTACTAGTTAGGAACACGGTCTTTAGAATCATTTCATCACTTCCCTGGGGCTTCCTCTTATGACCTCTAGTGCCTGTCAGCAATCACTGGAATTCCTTGGCATTTAGACAAATCACTTCAATTGCCCATCAACTCACAATGCTCTCACTGTGTCTGTATGTCTTTGTGTCCAACCTTCCTTCTTACAGAGACACCAGTTATTGAGTTAGGGCCTACCTGAATCCAGTATGACCTTGTCTTTGTTTTTCCCCAGTGCTGAGGATCAAACCCAGGGCCTTCATACACTAGGCAAGTGCTCTACCACTGAGTTACACCCCATCCCTTGACCTCATCTCAATTTGATAAAATCTACACACACCCTATAACCCAAATAAGGTCACATCCACAGGTGCGATGGATCAGGACTTCAATGTATTTTGGGGGAGATCCAATTCAACCAATAATAAGCACTCTTTCAAGAAACAACCCTTCCCAAAGGAAAATTCTGCCACAGACTGGCCATTTCATTACACCCATCATCTATCTCCGTCTGGCATATGGCCCACACCAGCTCCTCGAGTTTCCATCATGACCCCACACAGTGAATGGGTGTAATGAACCCTGATCTACAGCAGAGGAACACCCTCAAGTCAGAGGTTAAGTGATTTCCCAGGCAGCTGATGGATGGTGGCAAAGGGTTTCCAGAAACTCAGACCCTTTGCTATTTCTAGGTAGCAAATTAGTCCTTGGAGATAGGGACTAATTTTAGCTTTTTTTTTTTTTCCTTCATTTTTTCCATATTTATCAAAGTGCTTATTATGAACTCTGGAAATACTGTGATGAAAAGTAAAGAATTCCTCTTCATATGTTACCCAAGAAGATATCTGCAAAAACTAGGTGACAGCAGAGGAAGGGTCAGTAATTGTGAGACAAGCTGGGAAGAATGCTTAGAGGAATTTGAATTTGAACTTGAGGATCTGGAAGCAGGCAGGTGGAAGGTGTAACACAGGCAAAGACACAGAGGCATCCAGCAGAAGTGATTGGATCCAATCATGGGTCAGAATGTGAACATGACTATGGTAGAACCTTCCAGGCAGTGCCCCTGTCCCCACCCCAGTTGCATGACCAGGATCCCATAAAGGGGAATTCTTTCTAACAGAAAGATTGGGACCCAACAGTCCTGATTGAGGACTGTTTAAAGGGGTCCCAGAGAGGACCCCGTTAAAACTAAAGAGGATACTGCTCTTTCACCTGGGTCCCAGCCCATAGCCACACTGAATGTTTGACACCACCGTCCTGATCTCCCTTTCCATCTTTCTCCAGAGCCAACTGGTCAACCTTGTCTTCCTGCATCTCTTGACTTCTCTATTTGCTCTTTCCTGCCTTGACACCCACTCAGAAACTTCTCAGAACACACACATCATCCAGTCTGTGCCCAGCCTCAATCTTCTGATGGGTCTTAGCTTTTGGTCCCAAGTAAGAGTCTGCCAATCATTGGTCCTTCTCCCTTATAGGAGACATCTCCTAGGAAGGGGATTTTTTTTTTTTTCATGGACTTGTTAGTTGTTAGAGCTGATGTTTTATTTCTTCAACTGATTTAATTACCTAGTGAACAGAGGCCCACAGGCAGTGAGCACAGAGCTTATAAAGAAAGGCTCCCTGGCCCGGCTCTGCTGTTTATTAACTGTGTGTTGTGGGGGCGCAACTGTAACTTAGTTTGGTCAACTTCATTATTTTGTGCATGCATGTGTGTGGATAACTACATGTGCACACACACACTATCTTGTGTGTGCTCTGAGAAAACAGTGCTCTGAGTTCCTTCATAAACACTGCTGTCTGGACCACAGCCAGCAGCAGAGACAGGGACAGTGCTCTTATCTTCCCTTCCTGAGCACATCTAAGACTTCAAGGTTGTTGTGCAGCACTTTTTCTGCTGAAATCAGCACTGCACCTTCACACCCAGGGGTGATTTAAACCAACTGAGAATTATTAAGCAAAAATCCCCATGGTCTAAGCTTAGCTGGTGTGCAAAAGTGCTAAGCATGCAGAATTGCCTTGTGTGCTTGCAGAATGCTCAGGTCTGCAGATCAAGAACTCATGAGACAGAGGAGGGACTGTCCTGACACCAATTAAATGGTGGCGAATAAAAAGGGAAATAATAGAAAACCAGAGTGCTGTAATGTGGAAACTGTGTCAGCAGTAATAACTCAGATTCATGTCCGTCATGGTAAGGCATCCCAGGAAACAGATGGGCACTACATACACATTTCTGAGACATTTTCAATCTAGTTTCTGAAATGTAGCTCTACTTTTCAAGAGTTTTCTGGCTGCTAGACAAAGACAAGGAAACTTACTCTGGAACCACTGCTTTTCAACTCCACCCAGTTGAGCACCATCGGCCCAGCCCAGGACATGCCCAGCTCAGATGATAGGGCCGGGTAAGCGTCACCAAGGCAGCCATGTGCACCCTTCCTCCGCAGTTGCAGGATGTGCTATTCAGGGCTTGGAAATCATCTCTGTTGGGAGGGAAAAGGTCTGAGGCTGGGCTGTAACATTGCCCATTGGCACTGGGGCCCTCTTTCTTCACTGCTGATGATCCCATATCACCATGTGGCAACTCACGGTGCACGAAACAGTTTCATGTCTCATTACCCTTTTGTTAACTTAGGCTGCTATGCTAATGTTGGAGAATGGGATTAAGAAAGTTTATCTCTATTTCTAGACTAAAAGCAAAGCTTCAATTAAATATCTTTTCATGCCTACATACTTTTAAAATCTGGCAATATCAAGTGTTGGTTAGGACACAAGATAGTCAGGACACTCATAGTTACTTGGAAAAACTCTTTGGTAATACCTAGCAAATTTGAAGACATGTATGTCTTAGGACCCAGAAAATTTTAATCCTAAAATATACCCAAAAGAAATTATTTTCCATAAGCACCAGCAAACCTGACAAAGGATAGTGGGGGGAGAAGGCTTACCAATGTATATGACTGGACTCGATCTAAATGCCCATCAGTGACAGAATGAAGAAATCTTTCATTGCAGTCACACAATGACAATGACGTTACAGTGGCATGTGATCAAATACTGAATAATATAGCTGAATTGCCATGTAGAATATTAAGAGAGGAAATGTAAAGTTGCAGAATGCAACATTTACATAAAGAGCAAAACCAGGAAAAACATGAAACATCTTTTGTGTATGCAAGCATGTGACATCAAACTTTAAAGGACTTTGAGAATGTGATTAAAACAAAATTCAGGAGCAAAGGGAGATAGTCTAAGAGAGAACAATATGGAGAGAGTGAGGGGGAGCCCAGGGGATCATTGGGGGTTTTATATTAGCCAATATTTAATATCAAAATGAACAGCACTGACATAAAACATCAAAAACTACTTAGAAACAAAGTAAATTGTATTTACAATAGTAGCAAGAATTTATAAGGTCCCTGAAAGTCACTATAAGAAAATTCTATGTACAAATCTTACAGAGAAAGTTAAAAACTTTATTTAAAAACATAAAATAATGTCAGATATAAAGCAGACAAGTCACATTTATGATTCCAAATGAACACAAATTCTGCATATCCAGCAAACATCTCAACAGGATGGCTATCTACATGTTGAGCCTGAATTTATAGAAAAATGGAGAGGATCAATACATCTTGAAAAAAAAGAGTGGGAGGGAGAGTCTATAGTAGCCAGGTGTCCAACGAGGTATTGAGACTTCTCATCAAGTTGTAGTGAGGGGCACTGGTGCAGAGGTGACAAGTTGGCAGTGAAGTCAAAGCCAGAGCCCAGAAACAGACCCATGGAGACTCAGCAAAGGGCCTCCAACGCATGACCAGGACAAGCCAGGGGAAAACATAGACAAAACAGC